TATTTAATCAGCCTCCACAGAGTGTTTCTGGTTTCTCATTCAGATTCTGTATTTCAGCAGAGAATTTAGTGTAACAGCTGCTCAAATGGCAGCGAGTGGTCACTATCAGCAAAAATGGATCTTCACTGCACAGACGGTTTATCTTCATCGCTTTAGTTTTTACACACGACATTAGAAGCTAATGGGATACATGGGGAGAAAAAAAGATTAAAATGGTTAAATTATGGTTTAAAGTAATTGAATTAACCCCTTAAAACTCATATCTACACATCAAAGCTTCACATTTACAAGTAATTTTCCATGAAAACGATTCCTCCCTGTCTTAATTGATCTTGGATGTAACTCTACGCTGTTGCTTCTTCATCTACAGAAAGCCCTCCTCTGTCTTCACTTACACAAGAGCTGCAGCACACAAGCTCACCTGAGATTTGCTCAAACGCAGCAAAACTACTCTATGTGCGGCTGTGGCAGGTTGTAATACTGGAGTGCTTCAGTTGTACATGTTTGAACTGGAAAACAACGCTTTAAACAAAGAATAATGGCAGAAAAAGCGCCACCCTGCAAGCCAAGGATTGATTCCTTGGGCTTGTTATGTATAAAACCCTGGAATTCAAGTTTTCGAGGGTGGAAATGCTCAGCCACGGGCATGACAAGGTAAACAAAATAAACTTGCTTTTCACTGGAGGGGGGCCTCTATCTCTGTGGTGTCCTCTTTACGGTAGAAATGAGTCCATATAACACCGAAATGAATTTAGGGAAATAGGGAAGTCAAAGTACCTGAAATAAAGAGCATTAATCTAAAAAAATCTTGCTGTGCTTGGCTATACCTTGTTGCTGTTGTTCATTCAGCAGGTGCTTTAAATAGCAGTAACAGCTGTTGTGTAGACTCTGTTAACCACTGCTGAGGAAGTACAATACACACTGATCACACTTTTCTCAAGTCGCAGTCATGCATGCAAGAATATCGACGGAGAACGTCAATGGTCGTATCCAGTTCAGCTGAAGCTGTTTTATTGAGGATTTTCCGGCCCAAAGAGCCAAACGCCCAGCGCTATTTGATTATCTATTGATCAGAAGTGTGGAAAAGCTCTCTGACCTGTAATTGAATAATCAGGTGTTTGTTTACAGAAGTGACAAGCACATGCGCGAAGCTGCTTTTGCAAGTCATGTGCATCCTACATTTCCACAGCCAGAATTAGCCCACAAGGCCTGTGGGAGATGTATTTAAGATTTTAAAAAAGTAGGCTGTCTGGAAGAATTTTACCTTATGCCACTTGTGCTCCAGTAGTATGCTGGATTTGTCATGGGAGGAAAAATGACTGGAACTAAATATTTACTCACATGCCTCCCAGGCTGCCATCAAAGTGTCTGGAAATATTCTAGTGAGAGACATTTTTCCTCCGTTGTGGTGAGCTGATCCAGCTTCCACATTTATAGATCTGTGCTTCTCCACACAAGCTGCACTGAGCTGGATGCTGGACTGGGATGCATTTAAAGCACCTGCCCTCAGTGAAGTGTTTGCCATTTTCAGCGCAGATATACGGGGGGGGAGGAAAAAAAACAACAAGTAAGCAGATGCAGAAACAAGGCCATTATCTGCAAGCCTGTCAAACTATCTGAACATTTTATTTCTGGCTCGGTCAGAGGTCTGAAATGATTGTTGATATCTGAGGCTGCAGTGTGTCTTTCCTATTAGAGCGTGATAACACAGGGAGATTAATATCTTATGAATCCAGCATAAAAGTCCATACACCGTATTGTTAAAGTCCTTACCTCTGCAGCAATAAATCAGCTTATTGATGTGCCTGCTGTTTTTCTATGTGTACTCACTGCCTTCGGTATTGATTTGCTTTTCTGTGAGACAAACTGTGCAGAGACAGTAGGTGCACAAGCAAACACACGCACACACACACAAAGCTAGACACCCACCCACCCCCACACACACATATATACAGGATCATTTAATGGAAAGTAACTTGCATCACGGCAATTTAAAACTATAAAAAGCATTGTCTCTGCCCAACAGTTGAGCTGTCGGTCTCGCCCTCACGTGTACACCCACCCCTCATTAACTCGTGGATGCTTCACTGAGCTGCTTCGTAGCGTATAAGCACTCTGAGCACTACAGGCAGACGGAGACCAGGTCTAATTGGTAACAAGGTTATCAACAGCTGGACTGATACGGGTGGCTGGAGCAGCTCAATTTCCTCACTGACCAGAGAGATTAATGTGCCGCCGTGTGTGTCTGTTTGTGCACACACATGGTTGGCGACCATTAATTATGCGGCACCTGACAGAATCCTTGATTTCTGACCTTTACCAGTCAACCCTCTTAATGCAATTTAAAAGGTATAAAAGTGTAAATTGCTTGCTCCTCAGGGGGGAGGGATGGTCCTGCATCTACCACGAGATAGTCACTTCAGGAAGTATCTGGACCTCTTGTATCCCTTACAGCTCTTTTACTTTTGGTGGATTTTAAAGTTGAAAGGGGGGAAAAAAATTAATTTCCATCAATACACACTCAAAAACCCATAATGGCATACTGAATAAACTTTTTATAAACTGGAATCTCCTGTTTATAGTATTCTAAATTCTAGTCAGGTGCATTAAGATGTGTGTCTGAGCAGCAGGGGAACAAAAAGACCGATGACAAGTTAAAGTACAATGAACGCAGCAGAGAGGTTCTTGAAGAAAAGCTGCAGAGACCGGTGAATGCGACCTATCAGCGTCGCAGAGAGCCAAAGAAAACACTGGAAAAGTTTTAAGACAAGCCTCCGACTGTCCTTGAGTAGCCCAACAAAAGCCCAGACTGAAACCCCTCAGAACATCTGCGGAGAGACCTGAGGATGGCAGTTCACAGATGCTTCCCTTCACATTTGATGTAGCCTGAGAGGAAGTGCCAGGAAGGATTGGATAAACTGCCCAAATCCAGCTGTGCAAAGATTGTAGCGACTTATCCAAGCTGACTCGAGGCTGTCGTGGCCACCAAAGGGGCTTCTGCAAAGTGAACACTTTCGTCAACAAAAGACTTTCTATTTAATAACCAAAAAAAAATGATAACTACACATTTTTATTCAGTGATATTGAATGTAGCGTAACAGGGAAACATGCAAACTTTGTCCATTTAGAATTAAATCTGCAACAAGTAGAAGTGTGTACAAAAAAAAGGGAGTCTGAGTGCTTTTTGAAGTGACAGTCTATGTAAAGAGTGTGGAGTCTCTTTTATTATTAAGGAATCTAACCGATGTGGATTTTCCAGAGCCAGTCCTAATGCTGATTATTGGGAATCAAAAAAAGACAATGGATGTTTGGACCTGATATACATTACGTGTTATATATATCACCAGCATGTGATAGCAGGGAACCAGTCATTCATACCTGGGCTTCAATACACTAACACTGAATAGGTGCACTACAAATAGGAGTGACGAGGTCAAAGCATGACAGGATGCCAAGACGCTCTGGTTGACATTGAACAGTTTGTCTCCTCTCCTGCTGCTATTCTGTTCTGTTCATCTTTCACTGCTATTCACACACATACACAACACTTTCATTGCTCATTAAAGTCTTAAAGCTTCATTAGTTATTGTTTTCAAGACACTGGAAAATCTGTGACGGCCTCCTAACGTAGCCGCTAGTTTAGCCTTAATCACTGTCAAAGCAGGTAACATCCTGGTTTGTGTGGACGGTTTGTGTTTGTTGTGCAGTTTTTGTGGGTTGGGTTTCTGTTAAAGAGACACTGTTGAGACCACAGATTGACAACCGACAGAAAGGCGCTGCATTGGACCCAAAGAAGTGGATTCAATCTATCGATAATCTGAAAAATGACAAATATCGGCTACGATAATTGGCCGGGCTGAAAATCAGACAATCCCCATAATTAATAGTATTAAAAACTGTTTTGTGGCTATGAACAACATGGTAGATGGTGCTTAAGTACTAGGTCATCTAATAGGCCGATTGGGAACGCTTGCACTGTTTTTCTCAAATTGCACATTTTGTACAGTTGTTTTATTTTATTTTATTTATGTTATTTTATTCACCTATTTTATTTGTAATTTTTAAATAGTACTTTCTGCTGCTGTACCACAGTAATTTCCCAGACTGGGATTAATAAAGTATTTTTCTATTTCTATTTCTATTCTATTTCTAATCTTTCGTGCTAAATGGTGGCAGTCAGTCCTGAAAATAGAAGTAGATGACGTGTGGCGGTGACATTGCCACGAGCCCAGAAGTACCGAGCACGAAAGACAGCTCCGAGTTCAAGAGGTTAACCTGCATCTGCAGTTACACCAGTAAACTGTCTGTTCCCGTTGCTTTGTAATGGACAGAGTCTGGGAACAAGTGGATGATGGCGTGCGCTTGTGCCAGCGAAATCACAGTAAACGCACCAAAATAGCCTCTAGATCAAAATCATTTAAGACATGTGTTTTTTTGAGCGTTGGCCAGTGTTCAGAGGCCGTCCGACTGCTGCCTCCTGCACTTCTGCACTTAAAATGTTTTGTATGTCCTGTGGATTTTTGCAGTATATGCGTTTCATACAGCGCTGATTAGCCATCTACCATCTGCTGGGCTGTGTGTGGAGAGCAGCTCATTATTCTGCCTGTTGTGTCTGCATTGAAGCCGTAGCTCCACTCCAGCTATCAGGCAAAGCTGCAGGGACTCTTCGTATGCAAGCAGCAGGGAGCAGCTGGATGATGCAGTGTTGCTGCACACAAGTGGCTGAGTTGCCTGCATCTGTCTGACAGAGAATGAGCTGTCCTCCGGCCAATCTCTGCCTCCGACTGTGACAGTACAAAATACTTCTGCCTCATGTATCACGAGATGAGCTCTAAAACACTGTGCATCCATTTCAAAGCAAAACTCATCACCAGAAGGTCAACGTAGGATGGATTCAGTCAGTAGGAGTGAAGTCATTATATTTGCTACCTACTGCCGCTTGAAAGGTGGTTTTTATTTTGTTTACACCAGTTGAATGTAATGTTTATGTTGTTTTTCAGGACCTTGTGGGCAGCGCTCCGCCTCAGAGGAACTGGAAGGGAATAGCCATCGCCCTGCTGGTCATCCTAATCATCTGCTCCCTGATCGTCACCTCCGTTATCCTGCTGACCCCTCGTACGTACCCCAGACACACAGACAAACGAATACACCTGCAAGTATGCTAACAATCAGAGGCAGTACGCCAAGGATGCATAATCCTCTTAGCTGATTGTTTTATTAGTAGACTAGAAGTGCACTCAGACAGCGCAGCACTCTGCCAAGGCCAATGCCCTGTTTTACAAGAAAGCGATCAGGATCTGCACCTACATTTAATGGGATCTCCCTGCGTTTGTTCTCCACCAAGTGAAATCTCCACCAAGTCTTAAAACTCATCTTTGTGCAATCTCGCTAAACAATAGACGGCCAGACAAACGGCACTTAAAACAAACCCCAGCCTTGGTGGAGAAATAATGTGTCATCAGCATCAAAACAGCAGCTCTTAAGAATTACTGTGCTCTCATAATAGGCTATTTCACACCCAAGGATTTAAAATTGGGCAAAATTGACCTCCTTGTGTGGAAGCAGGTTGCAGAGTACACATGAGGGATTCCACCAGTAGTGACTCTGTAATGGTTTTGAGACACTTATTAAACTCTACTTTATTTATAAAACACTTTAACTCAACAAAAGTCAAAACAAAGTGATGAACACAAAATACAAAAAAATTTAAAACATCTAAAATGCAAAATACAATAAAATTATAATAAAATCATTGAAAAGGACAATAAGAACAATAAAAAAACAATAAAACAGGAGCTTAATGCCGGGTCGAAGGCCAGGACATAAAAATGAGTTTTCAGACGGGTTTTAAAAATGGACAGTGATGGTGTTTCTCTAACGAGCAGCAGCAAAGAATTCCAGAGCCTTGGAGGTGTGACTGTAAAGGCTCTGGCCCCTCTGAACTTCCAGCTAGACCTCAGAACCTCCAGAAGCAGCTGATCAGCTGATCTTAGAAATCAGCTCAGAGAGGTACACTTTTAAATATAAAAACAAATGAGTTGTACACCAATCAGCTACAACAGTTAGGCCTTTAAAGGTGAAGTGAAAGACGCTGATCATGTTACAAGGTTCCACTGGGATGTCCTGGCATTCATGTGGATGTTGACAAGTACCGCTCACCTACACATTGTTCCAGACCAAGGACACATCCCTCAGCAATGGGACTTCCCAACAACAGACGCCTCCCCAAGCAGGACACTGAGTCCTGCCACACTGCAGAAACTTCACTCCAGAGACACAAAATAAGCATATTGACCAAGCCTCCAAACTCCCCAGATCCTGAAACTGATCAAGCATTCACTGAAATAAGCACACAGAACCCACCTGCAGCCCACAGAACCCAAAGGATCTGCCGCCAACTGACTACTGCTGGTGGGTCGGAGCTGTTTTGGCAGCAGGAGGAGGACCTACACAACATTAGGCAGGTGGTTTTAATGTTGTGGCAGATCAGTGTACATCATGATCTCCCTGGCAGAGATAACAGCACACACAATATTCCCTCACTCACATCTGCTCAGTTGTTCTCTGCCTCGGTACACATGTATTCTACCCACAGCCTTGGCATGAGACCGACCACAACAATACATTTTACAGAACTCAGATGAACTCAGAGGCCACATGCCTCTGCCAAATCACCTCAAATGGTTAGTTTAATTTTAGAAAAAGCTAAATCCGATTGAACACAATGTGCCAGATGCTGCAAATGCTAGCAAGAAAATAGCTTAATTTGAAAAAAAACAAATCAAAAACAAATCATTGTTCATCACAGGCTGAATAAATCTGTGAAGTTTTTAGATTTCCTGCTGCAAACCCAAGTTGAGGGAACAGAACGGTATTAGCACACACCTGTTTAGCAGTTTGTTTTATGACAGGTACATTCTACACACATGGTTGGCTTTGAATTCCAAATTGCAAACTGACTTTGGATGAAATGCTCCTCTTGGCAGCAGGATTCGGCTTTTTCTCACTGCGCAGACAGCTATTTTAATTTGATAACCTTATTTCAACGTGGGCAAGGTTTTACAGATGACACGGTTTTTCTACTTGGTGATTGTATACCAGTTTTACACAGATATGGGGTCATCGTCTCACTAGGTAATGGGCCTTTTAATGTGCAATGCCATTCAGGCCTGTTTAATGGAGATGATTATGTAGTAATAGCTCCAACCATTTGTCAGATTGGCACAGCATCAGAGATACCATTTGCCGTGTGTTGGAAATTAGCTTTCTCCTCTCACTCTACAGCATCTTTGCCAGACATGAGAATTTCTCTGATTTTCCAAGTCGATAAACACTTGACAATGTCTGACATGGTATTTACACACTCAGATCTCGCGGCTCAGTCACAACGTGAAGCCTGCCGAAGAATCTGTCAACTCGCAGTTTTGCACAGTAAGACCGGGCTGTCAGCCATCGAGACAAGTCGTGTCTAACGGCTGCTTCCTAAGTAAAGGTGCGGTGGAAGACGGTGAGGAAGTGTTCAGACGTTCGCTGTGTTTCCTTCCTCACATCCAAATGAACTCGCTTGTGTTCCCCTGTTGTCTGCTCCACCTGCGGTTCAGCTGTCAGCGTCAGATCTCATTTTGAGTTTTGGGAATGGAAGGACTCGTCAGCCCGCCGCTGAAAAACGCAGCAGGCAGATGTGCGCTGATGTTCTCAGACCAATAGAGCAATACCAGAGGCATCTTTCTCGCTCGCACTTTATTCTAAATTGCTGTACCCATAGTGGGGAATAGTTGTTAGAGGCACCAGCTCCAGAGACAGGAGAGGTGTATATTATAGCGAGACGGTGAAAATCTCAAAGCAACACGATGATGAAAAGTCAAGATTTCCTCTCAGCTTTTCCTCTGAAGCTACTTGCTCGAAATGCTAATAAATCCGACAAGACTGGAAGACGGCCTCCTGACGTTCACCACAAAAAATCAGCAGGACATTTATAAAAAATACATGTGGGCTTTTTTGTTGTGTGTGTCACATTTAATTCATGTCTGTTTATTTATCTTTTGGCGATACACCTGACAGGTGAAGATGACAGCCTTGCCCTTAAGAAGAAAGTAACCATAGAGGACGTCTTCGGTCCAGACCTTCGCATTCATGACCCGGACGCTAAATGGCTCAGCGGTGAGTGAACACTTTAGCTCTGACATTTAGAATCTGACTCTGGCCGTCAAAACACAAAACACAGCCAGACACTTTATGACAGGAATCAGTGTTGTCCATAACTCGGACTTCAACAATGGCATTAAACTTCCCGTACAGGGATTTAACCGAAAATACCAAAAGTGGTGACGCAGTATAGATCAGAAAACACAGCTCAGTAAAAATAACTCTACAGTGCAAACAAAAGACCTGAAAGTAGTTTGAATAACACTTCAACCAGAATAATTTATCAGAGATCGCTTTTACCTTTTTTAGGAAAGGATAGCAGAAAGGTCAGACGACCACACAGCCGGCGTTCAAGAGCACGACTACAGCCAGGAAACCAGCAATCAGAAAAAGACAAAGTGTAGCTGAAACTAGTCCTGCAAGGCGAATGTATTCAACTGTGTGCTGCAGTTACAAGACACAAAAAATGAGAGAGAGGTGGTGAGGAATCATAACAGCACAGTTTAATGCATGGAGATGAGCAATTATGATATAAAAATTGTCTTCAGTCTACGTTAAATCACATCACAAATGAAGTCAGGCAACCACTAAACCTGCCTGTTTCTATAGCTAACGCTGGTGCACACTGCCCTAATAAAGCATTATGTTACATTACTGTCCTCTTGCAAGCAGATGTCATAAACAAAATGCACCTGAACTCATCCTAGCTGTGTCTCAACAAAAGCACCAGCCTTCAAGCTAATCTAGCATGTACAACTCACTCAGCGTGTTGTGAGCCAGACGTACAGTAAGATGGTCTAAATTGAACAGATGTGCATTAGAACAGCTCTTTGCTCTGGCCCCTGTAACCTTGAGGAGATGGCGAGTGGGCAGCTGCTACCTGAGCTCATAAATGTTGCCCCCTGGTGTTAAGATTCGATCGTGCACAGGAGAACATGCTGAACTGAAGCGACTAGAGAACTTTTCTGTACATGTAGAATTCCCAAGTAAGTTCTTCTTGTATCTACATTTATATTCAAATATTTAAATTTAAATACTGGTAATGCTTAAATCGGCCAAAGGTAATGCTGACGTTTGGTCTGGCTGTCACTGAACTGAATCCAAAGCTGAGCAAGCATCTTTGGAAATCTCCATCCATATTGAGTTTGTAAAGAATATTGATATTATATAAAGCGAGGAAATCTACTGATGAATTTCCAAACTGTGTTGAAAGGTGTACTGAAAGGCCATTTAAGATGTGGACCTTGGTTTAGTTTCCTTAAAAGGGACATTGTTAACTTTTGTTAACACACAGGCACAAAAAAACCCCCCTAAGGCCAAACATTTTGGAGAATTTTCAACACAGATCATAGCCTTTTTTTAGCTTTGTCACGGCCAACTCAGCAAGTAAAAAACTAGCTTGAGTTTCAAAGAACTGCTTCCAGGGTCAAACACAACCTTTTTTTCACAAGCATACAGCTTATATCAAACATGGGATGTGTCAACACTCGTGTAGTCTGAATTACGAGGATCAAAAACATCAAGTATTTAACTTTAAGGTTATTTCTACTACTGATTTTTTTTGTGTCATCGTGCCTTAAACAATAAAACTTAAACTGTTCAGACTAGAGCTTTTAGTTCTGGTTGATAAAAGTTTTATGTTGGGCCACTTTGCATCTGTAGTTTGTTTGATCATGTCATGAACACACCTGCACGTCCACATTGGAATGCAGCTGCTGCTGAGCATGTAGCGTACAGACGCGCTGCGACCTTACATCTGTCCTTTGGTTCTGCTGTGCAAACTGTTCCCCTGATTACTTACATTACCGGCTGATTAACATATAATTAGCTAAGTTCTGTGCCCTTCATTCATGACCATGATGAAAACGTCCTGAGCACCTGACGAAACTCCGGCAATCAATTGTGTGACATTGCATCTTGTCAGTTACATTAATGCAATCAACTCCCATTTGGCGCTAATGACCTTCCGATAAGAAACCCAGTGGGACAACCTCACACTTGAGTAGTCCTCATCAATATTTTGTGGGCTTCATTCACAGCGGTGCGTAATTGATCCCCGTTACTCTTTGATCACCGCTTGCCTCAGTAGTCTTTGGACTCACCTCTGAGCTTCTCACACGGACTCAGATCCAAAGACAAAGGATTCAACCTTCACACTGATCTCTACAACAAAAGCCTCCCGCTGTCTATCCCGCTCATTCATATATAGGACGTACAACAGAATACGCAACAAAATTGAGTCCGACCCCGCTTGATATCGCTAAAATCATTACAAATCCTGTCCGTTTAGCGCGGTTCAACTTGTTTTTGATGACAGATTTGATCCTCCTGTTCATGGATGATACCAGCCTTGTGCTGAGAACCGTTCTTCACATTCTTCACAAGTGATTCTTTTAGGCTGCTGGAGTCGTAGCTCCAAAAACACCAAAGAGTGTTCCATTGATTCAGTTCAACGGACGAACTTGGCCAGATTTTAGTTTTCACTTTTTTTCCTCGTGTCTAAAAACTCTTGTGTGATCATTGCTGTGTCCCAAAAATCCTCTCCATCATGTTTCATGATCGGCACCATGCAGCCTCTGCGGTGGTCTTGGCCGGGCCGACACTGAACATGCTGCACCCCATCTGATCTGAACAAATTCATTTTGCTGTCATTCGACCAACGGATGCTCTGCCAGTATTCATCAGGAATCCTTTTATGTAGTCTGACAAAGTTTTTTTGTCAGCTAGAGCTTTCTCCTTGGACACTGTCAATAAAGGCTGTCTACATACAATGTCCTTCACACTGTCCCACAAGCCACATTTAATCTTCTGTTATTAGGAGTATGACTCTTATATCTCCTAGCCAATGCAACAACTACATTTGAGCTTATGTCCGGTGCTCTTGTTTCCTTTCGTTTCGTGCTCGTTCCTTACTACTTGCAGCGAAGTTGCCAAAACAGCTTCTTTTATAACCTTGCTCGTGCAATTAACCTTAATTGGAAATGAGTAATCACTTTTCCTGCAGCGGTCACAGATAGATGGACTTTGTACATCGGAGTCTGTGTTTTACATCCAGTCCATATAACCAGTTTGTAAGTATGCGTGAGATCAAATGGCTAATGTTTTTTTTAGTGATATTGCACAGGGGTGTACTCAGTTTTGTTGTCTGTCCAAATAAGAGGAGGAAAAAAAAAAGCTATAAACGGGAAGATCAAGGGCTAAATTTACCCGTGAAAACTGGCTCTGACTATATCAAAAGCCACAACCGATGAACCACACTCAGTTCTTCTCATTATCTTGATTTGAGTTCTCGTCTTACACTCAGTCACTAAGTATTCCCAATAAAATGACACAGGACAACCTGTTTTCACTGCGTCGCCAGATTCTCTTGTCTAATGTGTCGCGGCCTGAGCCAGGAACTTTAATGGTTACATTTGCTGAGCATTTGTTTAACTGATTTTAAAAAAAGTTTACGATCAATAACAAATCAAAAGATTTAGAATATTGATGAGGAAATCTGTGGATTGTAAAATTCAATTTGATGAGGAAAAGACAGTTTGTATTCCAGGCACTAAGGACTCATTTTAAATGATAGAACAACATGGACAACATGTTTTAGTGTTTAGGTAATTAGAGCGATGGCGTGGACGCACGGGCTGTTGAGGTCCGAAGATAAACCGAGCAGTTATCAGATAAGCCGGCATTACGCACAAGAGCGAGAGCTACAACAGCTTGTTTACTAGCTTACTGACAATTTAAATTATGGCTGTTTTCAGCAAAATCACTCAGCTGAACATTACATACCCAGCACCAAATGACACACAGGCAAAGTTAACGACTAGCTGGTGAACATAATGGAACATTTAGCAGCTAAAGAGCCGCGTGTCTCCCTCAGGATTTGTCATCAGGTGACCAGAAACTCTGAATGAATGATGATGTTGCTCGGTGACTCCTGGGCGTGTACATAATTAACTGTTTGCTAACATTTTTTACCAATTTAGACGGAGATAATGCATGATAATATCAGTGTTGAGTTTGCAGCGTTTGCCTGTTGCAGCAAAGTGACCAAAACATCAGTTAAGAGAGATTTAACTGAATTTTTACTTCGACTGAAGAAGAAGAAGGACAAGACAATTGGAAGGATGGATTTCCTTTAAACGTTGTGGGGGACAGATTAACATTCCTGTCACATTTTGAGTCACTGTGGGTTCCTTTTTCACTGCAATATAAAGTCCCGCACCTTTATGGAAACAGCACAAGCATGGCTAGAAGTAGAGTGAACTCCGAAATGTCATCTGTGCAGTGTGACAGTTATATTGCCGTAGATATTATATATTATAGATATATCATAATATTAAAAAGAAAAAAACAAAAGTTGAAAGTCTTTCATTCTTTGCTTTGAAAATATTGGAAAAAGTCTGGAATCGGGGTGTACAATGTTTTTCCAAGGCTGTGTCCAAAATCATCCACTCAGTCCCTACTCACTATACAGGGATCACTATATAGTGCACTATGTAGGGAGCACCTCGGCAAAGTAGCATTTCAGACACTACTCGAGCTGTTAATTACGTCGCTCGCTAGCCGCAATTTGTGCCGCAACAGCGTAGTCCCAACATATCAAATTCACAGTTCATTGCGTAGCTAAGAAATCAAATTAAATCAAGTTTATTGTCATTTTGCTGCACATACCAGATGAGAGAGCGTTTCTTCAGGATCCAGCAATTTAAATAAAGTGGTGTAGTTTGTCCAAATCACAACTGAGCGCCGCAATTGTAGCAACGTTCACTGTCCGGGTAAAATAAAATTTAACAAAACAAACAGGAACTTTTCACGCTCTCGCTCGTCTAGTTTCCATTTCCTTTCGTGCAATGCATGACGGTCCATATTGCTCTGTTGGTGACCATCGGTGTACACTACTTTTCAGGGTGCATTGTGGGATTGAGGGTACTATAAAGGATGTAACATTTGTAGCTTAACATTCGGACACCCCAACAAAATGGCCTATGTCCTATATAGTGCACTATGTAGGCGTAGGGAGTGATTTCAGACACAGCACGTGTTACCAATATGAAAAAAAATGTTGACTCTACATTCTACAGGAACTTTACGACTAATTTTTTATTTGTTTCCATACTAATATCTACTCCGTGTAAACACAGCCTGCAGTTCAGCATAATTTTCCTGAAAAGTTCCCATATTTTTAGAAGAATTTCTTACTTTTTATAGAACCTGCTGACGGCAATTTTCGGCGAATTTTATATAAGACATGTAGAACAAAGTGATTTCGATGAAATGCCACAATTTTAAGACTGAAGTTGGTCAAGTTTTCCAACAGATAACCTGTCACAGTAGTTGAAAATCCATCAATTCTTGCTGCTTTTACAGTTTCTGGCTCTGACCAATGGTACAATTTTGGTGATTTTATTTTAAAAATAACGTCTTTCAAACCCAGCAGAGATTCGGGGCTGAGCGTCCAACACGTTTTCTGCAGCGTGGTCAATTTTTAGGTAGAAGTTTGTGTCTTCTCTGCATCAGTTCATGGTCAATGTATTATTTATGTAAAGGAAAACACAAGGTGACAATTCAGAATGGAATGGAAGCTGTGAGGCTTCCAGGCATTCTGTGCTGCTTTTAAATATTTATTCTCATGTATATCAACTTTTCTCATTTCAGATTATCTCTGCTGACATGAACGGTTCAAATGTGTTTGAAAACGACTCCTGCCATGTTCAAAACCTTTTTGCATATTCAGTACATGAAACACGTATCTGTGTTTGATGCTCAAGGAAAAAGACCTTCAAGTGCAGAAGGCAGCGTCGTGTCTATGAGTAAATGTTGGAGTTTCTCAGTGTAAAAGTGCTCAGCTTCGTACTTGCTGTTAATGGGGAGGACAAATGCACATATCTAAATACTGAGTGGGACGCATTCGCTGCCTCTCGCCTGAAATCTGCGCCTATGTGAAGAAGTTATGTGGGAACAGAAACCATACGCCAGTTCACTTTCCGTCTAAATCTCTGGTTTGTTTATCATTTGTCATTTACAGACAATGAGCTGCTGTATCGTACAAGGGATGGGGATGTTGTCAGGCTTAATGTTGACACAACGGAGCGCAGGGTTATCGTGCCGAACCAGCTGTTTGTGAGTATAATTTTCGTCTAGAGCAGTAACTACGCTCCGTGCTGCCACTGTACACGGAGAGTGACGAGTTTCTTTTCCATCCTATCCAGGACAGATCCAGAGCCGCCAAATATCAAGTGTCTCCTGACATGCAACACGTGTTGTTTGCCTTTGAAGTAAAACCGGTGAGAAAACCTACCTGCTGCCTCATACAAGATAGATTGTTTTTTCGCTTCTTTGACTGTGATTTGTTTGCTTCCACAGATCTACCAGTACTCCTATGTGGCCAAGTACATTATTTACAGCCTGGTGACACAGTAAGACCCACCTCAGTTGTGTTTTCTTTCGTTTTTTGCTGTTTTCTTTCTGTCCCCTTCCGCTCAGAGATCTTTATCTGGCCGCCGTGCCCTCCCTCTGACCCGATGTGGACAGTGCACTGACATCAGACCCATTTACCTGCTTTCACCGGCACCTTGCGGGAATGCATTTAATTTCAGTTTAGTTTGGTGTGCTGCGTTCTGCCTGGCCTGTTTTTAGCCTTTCATCCATCTATGTCTGCTTATTCCCCTACTGTTCTGTATTTGTAGTGAGCCCAGCAAAGTCAGCTTGTGCTAAAAAAAGGATACGGATGATTGATGAAGCCTACAATAAGGGGACAAGCCAAAAAAAAAACAAAAAAGAAAAAGAACCACATGGCGGCCTCTATGCTCTGTCAGTGCATTTGTATTCAGATATTGAGTGTATGTGTTCCATACATACTAGTAAATATTGCATTGGCTCTATAATGTGTTGTCTCCACAGGGAAACTTGGCCTCTCAACCCTCCTGAGGTGCATGAAGCTGTCCTGCAGTTTGCTGGATGGGGACCCCAAGGCCAGCAGCTGGTAAGCAGGCTGTACCCTTGAGATTACACTCGCTGAACGCTGGCACACTGGGAGAGATCTGTCAGCCTGTCATAACAGAGCAGGCACAGCAGTGATTTATGGTTTGTCACAGTGGAACGGCCGAATGCTGCGGTAATAAGAGGTTTATGCACACAGTAATGACCGAATTAAAGGATCTCGGGTGAAGCCCTTTCGCTTTGACCTCCATCAATGTCGGCCAAAATGATTTCTACTTTGTGTCAACTCAGGAGCCGGCGAGAGGCTCAGTGGCAGATGGCATCTCGGTGGCACAACCTGTGGATGGGTCAGCGTGAGGCTGCTGGGGGGGGAGCAGACACATGGCGCTGACTAAGGCGTTGGCGTGTTGGTGTGGACTTGGACATCAAACGCAAAAGGACACTTTGGCTTTCTGACACGGCTTCAAAGGGCTGTTTGAGAGTTGGCTTTTAGGGGTCAGGTTAGGGTAAGGCTGAGGATTGGAGTTAATGGTGGTGGTAAAAGGAGAAAGATGGTTAATATTTGGATGGTTTGCATATTTAGATGGTTAGCATGTGCTAGGTTAGCATCAGTCTTGACATGTCTCCTCCATAGACTGTATAAAAGATGGACGTAGCAACCGGCCCTGAAAAATGAAGCCAACCCGGAAGTGTCAAAAACCTGCAACATCACTACGTCCGCTTGCTGCTGGCTCCAAAAAGCCCTGGCTCCCATAGAAATTGGAAAAGAAGTGATAACAGATCATGAAATACTGCATTCCTTCAGCTCAGGATTTTTTTAAAATTAGTTTTCATGGTCAAGTCCAGAGATCAGGCGGCCAATCTGAAAATAAATCAATACTGAATTTTAAAAAAATCGTCAACATTTTGCGGGGCAAGGGGCGTGGCTGGTTTGATTGACAGTCAGCAGTGACGATGCAGACGAAGCGAGCAGAAGGGCGGGCAGAGAGGGCCCGCCTCTCAATCCGTCTGACCAATCGCTGCTCCTATCCCTCCAACGATTTTTGTGTCACTGGCTCCAAAAATCGAAGATGTCAACCAGGAAGTAGCAAAACCCTGGCTTCATTTTCTCAGTGCAGAAACCAACGGGTGACGTCACGGAAGCTACGTCCATCTTTTATACAGTCTATGGTCTCCTCCCACGTCCTTTCCAAATGTGCACAGGACTTGCTGAATTATTGTTGTGTGGATCTGTCTGAGCCACTTTGTTTGATTCTACTGTGCATACAAACACCAGGGTTTTTTTTTTGCCGCATACAAAGTACGGACAGCTAGCAGACCGTGAGAAGATATTCACTGAATCTGACAAAACTTGCATTGGATTAAAATCACACACCTCTGAAAGTTTGATGGCTGTAAGTCTTTATAGGATAAATCCTACAAAACGATTTAGCTGAAGTCCTTGGATTTAACGTAGCTGAAAGCGGCTTCTCTCTATTCAAATATGACTTTTGCTGTGATTTCAAACCTTCAATCTTGATGTGGTCATAATGAAATACACAGAAATAGAAGAGCTCGAGCTATTATGAAATCAACAGTAGCAGTAGATTGAGTCTATTTTTGGTTAAATTTAATAGAACACTCGCTGGATTTCAATTCACACGTCTTTGAATGAACTTGAGTGGAGGTCATCTGTTGACAAATCTGTTATTCTTTTGATAATGGAAACTGTAAATGCTGCATCTTTTTCTTTTTCTTTTTTTTTGAGGTATGACTCAAAAATATAAAGAAGCTGTTACTCATCTGATCATTTTTTTTTTTTTTTTTTTTTTTGAGGTATGACTCAAAAATATAAAGAAGCTGTTACTCATCTGATCATTTTCATAACATTTCAGGTGTTAAGTACTTCTCAACTAGGTCAGAAAACATCAAATTTAGTTGTTTTCAAATTTTAGTCCAGAGCAAGTGATTTGAATTTTTTTTCTGGCAGCAAAATCTCACAACCAATATGCATCTACAGTCAAATACAAAGACATCTAGTGGCTTGTCTATGAGGCAACTATGACCCAACGGTGCTGCTGCTCATTTTGGAGGACTATTTACTTGTTTATTATGAAAGGATTATGCTTACCTACATTTTCATACGGTCAACAAATTCCCTACTACAACAATACTTCCACCCAGCGAGCTACAAATTGCCGTAGCCAAGGCTTGTTATAGCTTACTGCTCTGTGCCATAGAGCTTCATTGTTGTCCAAAAAGCATTAAAAACACATCAACAAGCTGCAGCGTTGCACTTGGTGCCATTCCTCTTTCAGGATTAACCCTGGCTCGGTAGTTGATTTTGATTCTATCCAACATACTCCATCCTGCTGCTGTAAATACTCACAAGTCTGCCATTCATGCATTAATTAGTAACTGCAAAGAGTTTCCAACAAATGCACTATTTACTCCTGTTTGAGATGTGTTTGCTAAAAAAAAAAACAAGAAACAACTGTTGCTGTTTGGGGAGCTTATTCAGCCTCGTTTAAAATCCAACTGTATATTTGTGACTTGCTTGTAAAGAGGTGCGAATGAACAAATGTCAGAGCAACTGGGCCTTAAAGAAAACTAGCTAACTATTTGTTTGTTTTCCAAGACAAGACAAACCTGTAATTTAACGAGCTGGATAATGCCATTGTTTTGGGGGTTTTTTTTTGGGCTTTGAATAGTTTTCTGTTAAACAAGGCACAGCCCTGTGTCTCATCAGCTATTACTTCAAAGCTTCTTCTTGCACCGTAATTGCTCTTATCGTATCATTTGCTTAAATCACGGATACATTGCTGTGAGAAAATATTAACATTTCAAGTGTGAGATGTGCGCCGAGGGGGAGGAAAGCAGATGAATTTGCATTTGGTAATAATGTACCTGATTGTTCCTTTCGCCATGCCATTACTGTAGCTCTGCGTTTGATTTAATGAACCGCCGAGATTGTGCGGGAAAAACGAGATGAGCTCTCATCTTTTGTCTTCGTTTGACCCGGAGATGTCAGACGTGTTTTCTCTTTTTTTTTTTTTCCCCCCCTCTTCGCAGTTTGTGAATATAATGATTTCCCATTAAGTTTATCAGAATTGGTGCAATTTATCATCAAGTGTTTTCATCAGCACATATAAATGAGGTGTGTGTGTGTGTGTGTGTTGTGGCTGTGAGCAGTGAAGCATCAGATGTACAGTGAGAGGAGCAGGAGATGGATCCTGCGACGCTCCCCTCATTAAACCGCAAGCAATTACTCTAGCATGACAGCGCAATCAGTAAGACTCAGTCAACACACACACGCAAACACACACACCTGAAGAAGAAGCTATATTGACACAAAACAGAAGGTGGATTTAAGCGAAAAATATGAAACCAACCTAAGTGTTGTCGGACAAAAAAATTGGACATTTCACAACACACCAACACAAATAAGAAACCCCGCTATTCCAGCTCGGCAGGTACCTTTGATGTCGCCACTTTCATCTCTCCGCCCTTTTTGAAACCACTCTTTTTCCAGCCTTTCGCTCGTTCTCCCTTTTCTCTCATCTAATTCCCTTGAAGACTGAACAGTCATCGAGGAAGTGAGCTTAAATCAAGAGATTGGCACCTGCTTGACAAATTACTCCGGTTTTCAGAGTCCATTTGGGATAGTTTACAAAACGCTGCAGCGCACCTGTTGCTGACAATGAGTGTCTTGAATCCAGACTTTATGCAACTCTTCTCATAATTTGGTGTAAATACTGCAAAGTTGAATCGAGGTTTGGAGCTTTGAGGACGCTTTGGCTAAGGTGGTATTCATATTAATTAGAATACTGGGGTTTTTCATGTAACTCTTTGAAAGCTGCCCATCCTGTCCCGTGGTGGTTTCGCAATATTCGCCAACCAGCTTCCTTCTTTTTACAGAGCCCTGCATTGATCTGTTTTCCTCAGATGTTGATCCCACAACATAAAACTTTGATTTTCTCAACAGCCGCCGTAGATCAGAGCAAAAGGACTCGTATATTTCTATTTTTCTGTTTCTTGCCAGCGATTTGAGGCTTACATTTAACTGAAGAGGGTTCAGCTGACAGCCGCAGTCACAACAACACGGCCTGAACTTCAGATACCAATCAATCCCGCATTCATCTGCCTCATACTGGCGCCAAGCGAAGCAGGGAGGAAAAAAAAAAAACACTGGAGTGGATTGACGGAGGGTTTTAAGTGTCATCTGCCAGTGGTGTGTCTTAATTCCTTCAGGCGATGCCATCGTTGGCGCCGAGGGCTTAAATCGGCTGCCGAACACGTAGTTTAGCTCAGCCATCGCCCACCTTCGGCAGCCAGCACGACGTCTCAATAAACACGGGGAGAAAATAGTGTGCTTGCGCGTGTCTTCGGTGATGTGTGTGTGCCTGCAGGGCCTCAGCCGGCTCCAGCGCCTTGATTAGCAACAGAGAGGGTTCCATACCGCTTTGGAGAGGAATCCAGCGTGAACTGTAATGAGGCAAATTTCCTTTAATACAGCGCATGAGGCAGGTGTTGACAGAGACTGTATCAGCTTCTAAGTGTCACTGAGTGGGTAGCTGTGCTTCTGTCTGGATTAAGATAAAGTCATGTTGTGATAAAAAAGATACAAGCGAGTTTGGCATGCCGAAGACGGAAAAAATGTGAGATGCAGAGGCTGTGGAAAGTGTTGTCGGCTTTGCGGCGCTCTGAAATGTGTTCACCCAGCAAAACAGCAGTATACAAAATAATGGGAGGTTACTTATAGTGACACAGAAACTAATGACGGCCGCTGCTCTGCCTCTCTTCGCCCAGATCTTCATATTTGAAAACAACATCTACTACAGGACGACGGTGGAGAGCCGAGCCATCCGCCTGGTTTCCACCGGGAGGGAGGCAGTCGTCTTCAATGGCCTGGCGGACTGGCTGTATGAGGGTAAGATGACTAACAAACAGATAAAAGTGTGTCTGGCTGCAGACGCCGCTTGGATGAAAGGTTAAGCGTCGCCAAGATGATTTAAACTATTATGATTACAATGACCTGGACGTCTACACTACACTGTGCCCCTTATTTCCATGTTGTAAACACTGGACTTCTGAGCAAAGTAGGAATAGCTGTGACTTAATTATGGGTTCCAACATTACGAAAGCCCAGTGAACATCTCATTTCAAAATCAGAGCCAGCATGACACCGCTATATAATTATATAATGTCGCCTGTTGTGCTTCAGTGAACATGTTTGCTTCTCTCCTGCTCCCTGTGCTCACATATACTGCATTTTAACACCGTCGAATTACCAATAAATCTAATTTGTTTTATATTTCTGTCATCAGACAACATGACAGACAACAGCTCAAAAAGACTACACGTTAACCTGTAGTCCCTTTAGAGCCGCCCACGTCGCCAAACTGTCTTGACTTAACAACTTAAACACAACGACTGAGCTGTGAAGTTCCCAGCGGTCGCTCACAGACAAAGTTAGAAGCGACAGTAAGTTCTGGACGCTTCACATCTGTTTCGGCTGCTGTGCGATCAGCTGTTTTGCTCCGCACAGTCAGTCAGTCAGAGACGCAACTGTGTTTAAAGCTACAGACGTGGAAACAACCTGTTTAGAATGGGCTGTAAGGGTTTAAACAGTCGTGGTGAAATGAAGCATCTTTGCAGTGTTTTGAGCTGAAACATTCAAAGACACATTCTGGAATCTGTTGCTAAAAAAATGGGGCACAATACGGGATCGTTAAAGGATAAAAAACAGGTAGATCATCTGGCCTGACAAAAGCGTTGTTGCGTTATGTGAAATGATATAGAACAACCAAAATAGTCACCATGAAAATAACGTACATACATGGACACACAGATCAGCAACAAAGCAATAGCCTGGATTGTACGCAAGATTTTTTCAGGAAGGTTAGAAAAGATTTGGTTCGGATTTTAGGCGTTGTAAGTTTGCATCACAAAACAGCTATATCACACTAAAGAAAAGGGAAAAGCAAAGAAGCACAATTTTTAAACCTGTATTAGCTGTTTTTTGGCCACTTGAGGGCAACAGAAATAAGCCCTAAACACAAACAGCACTGACTACACAAATTAACAGCACAGTATTATTTCTAAACCTTCAACGTAGGCTTAATATTGACTTTCTTTTACTCTAAATCTAAATATCTGGCTTTTAAGCTGCTAAACGATCCACTGTGATCACCAGCTCACCTAATTTTCTAACTCTGACTCCTGACTTTTGCTACAGGTGTTGGCACATAGCAGACTTTTAGATGCTTTTTTCCCTACAAACAGCTGCCTTCTGCATCTGGCTTTGCTCCCGCTACGTTCGCTCACCAGCCACTCACTAACTGCATCTGTGTGCTGCTGTTTTGGTGACGGGTGATAGTGTGCACCAGGTTTTTCAGACTCCTGGAAAACAGCTGCAAACTATCCACACGGCACAAACTTTTGGTCAGAGGTGGTCCACCAGCTTTTTTGCCGCACACTGTATTCAAGCAGCCAAATTTGAAGCCACTTTAATCTAGTCTTATGTGACACCTGCCCCACCAGCAGCAGCACCATCCTTGCTTGTGTGCATGATTCCTTTTGAAAGAGCACAGCTGGCTACGTTTCCGTGCTCCTCCCTCTCTACACTTCCCATAGCTTGTCTTTGTGTTGAGGCAGTTCTAATTAATTCATGTCTGCGGCATTGCAATCACACTCAGCAGATGCTCAAAAGCCAGCGCACTTGTAATTTAATACGAGACATTCTTCTGATTACAGCATATGTGGGACAGACATTCTAATTACATACCACTTTAATACGACTTTGTTTACCGATCCGCTGCCATGTTTGAGAATAGTTGCTTTTTTTTTTGTTTTCCTCTGCATTTATTTACAATAAAAGTTTATCGGTATCTTATTTAGACTCCTGTTTCCAGCGTAGTTATAATTATTAATTGTAGATTTATTCAGAGGGCGGTTTGGGGTAGTAATTGCAGGGGAAATGTAATTGCAAAATGCCAGTTATTGTGAGGAGAAATTCTGTTACAGTGCATGAACTGCTTCAGGGTCGGCTCTAATCGGTTTTTCATTAATGGGATTATTTCTTTGTTGTAGACGCAGAACATGACATAAAAGAAGTAATCCATTTTCAGCGCTGAAGAAAGATTTGCCTTGCTGTGTTCTCCCACTACGTTGTAGGGATTTATCAGTGGATAACATACCGTCTCACAAAAAACAGAGATGACGCGGCCCGACGTACTTTACACACATTTCTCACGGTGAAAGGTTTGGCGACAGTCGTTTGAATGTGGTTCAAGGTGAGGCAGCCTCTTTTCTCTCTCAGGTATTTAACGCTGTAGTCATCCGTGAGCGCAGGTGATGTTCCCACGGCAGTATAGTTAAACAGGAAATATTTAAAGATAACATGTCAGTCTTATAGCTGTGGCTTTATTTCACATGAAATATCTTTTTTTTTTAATTTACATTTTTCTGAAAGGCTGGATTCAAGCAAAAACTTTCAAATTCAGTCAAAGCTTAGCAAACAATAATTATAGGTGAGCCTTTGATGCCGATCATTGTTAATTATTCCTCAGCTGTCATAGCGGAGCAGCAACAAACCTTTGATCAACTGATTAAAGACGGAGAAGTCGTGGTACTGAAGCTAGAAAAGACTTCCACAGAGTCTCCTGCAGAGCTGTGGAAGGTGTTAGCTTACCTGTTCACATGTCAGGTGATCTGTACCGGTGAAGATCTGCAGGATTCGGTCTGCGGCCTCGCATCTGCGAAGGGAGGGCTCCACATCTGTATGTCTGGTTCTGGTTCTGGAGGTTTGGGAGGCAAAAACAAGAGAGAGTGGCACATGAGCTGCACAGCCACAACCACAGCGCCTCAAAACTGATTCGTCACAGGAAATGTGTGAGTGCAAGAAACGCAACATCATTCTGTGAAGAAAAAAATAAATAATCTTTTTGACTTCTATGAATTGCTGCTACAGGGTGGATGCTGCGGTTGATGTCGAATGTCAACAAGTGCAGCATCCTCAAAGAGCAACATGCCAGGAGTCTTAATACATGCTCTGACCTTCATATAATGCAAGATAAAATTGGCTTTTTGTTGTGCTCTTCCTGCTTTAGGAAGAAATGGTTCAGACTAATTTTCTCTGGGCAAAGGCCTTGAGAATCCTGCTGCACTGCAACAACAAACCAGACTCGGCTTCAGAGAGGGAACTCAATCAAACACTGAGAATTCAGTGACTGAATGGTCTCCTTTGCCCACCGCGACCCTGCATTCACGGGAATGTGAAAAATCATAATGGCCTGATTAAAAAGAAGCACAGTGTTTTCATAGAGGTTAACCTTTTCATTTTACACCAGGCAAAGGTGAATCTCCACATGTAGGTATAGTGTAATGTTCTGCTAGGGCTTTCCATAGAGCTCTTGTGCCCCCTGCTGGATGAAACATCACTGATTTATCTGTGAAGTGAGGCGTTGCTACCGTAATAACAGGCAGAGCGAGTACAGGGTTTTCGTATTCTTCCTGTAAGAATATGAACTTGTGCTGCAGTATGTCTGTAAACTGTTAGAAAGTCTGGTTATATAGTGATAGGGAATGTTTCAAGGCTGTGTTCCACCAAAAAAAAACAAAAAAAAACACAACAAAACAAAAGGAACCTTCAATTAATTTATCATACAAACAAGAGCAAAAAAAAAGTTGACGACGCTACACAAAAAAAAAAAAAAGAGACAAATTAAAGAAGAAAAAACACTGACAGATGACATTATTTTTGCAAAAACATATTTAAGAAGATTCTTAGGCATTTAACTGTTGTTTTGTTTTGTCTCCATCAATTATTTCTGTATTTCTGTCTAAGTTAAAAGTGAAGAACTGAGACAGGGAATTGGTCGTGTCATTTAAACAGATTTGAGCATAATTTATCACATATCAGAGTGAACAGCGTCTCACTCTTGTATTCTGAAAAAATTCAAAGTCAAGGACAAAACTGTTCAGCTCCCCAGTGTACACAACATAGAAATAATAGCACACATAAAAAAACAACTAACAAACCAGTGTAGTAGACAAAAACAAACTCAAGCACCAATTTGAACATTAAGATTATTTTTGTTCCACATGTTTAACTCGCATCCTGTTCTTTATTGCTTTGTCCCACAGAGGAGATCCTGCAGACCCACATAGCCCACTGGTGGTCTCCGGACGGGCTGCGTTTGGCCTACATGACCATAAACGACACACAGGTGCCAAAGATGGAGGTCCCATTCTTCACGGGAACACCGTATCCTGCAAGCTTAGACTACCACTACCCAAAGGCAAGTCAGCAGGAGCAAATCTCACACCTGTTCTATGGTGGAGCACATTTTAAGAGTCTGCAATTGGTGTTTCTAAAAGTATTTAACGAAAACAATAAGACAATGTCAAAGAGGTCCCTTGTAGCGATGAACCTACAGAGAGTTATCGCCCAAATCTGCAGCTCCATTTGGGTTTAATGAGTATATTGGGTGCTTTTTATCATGCGATCTTCCTGAGGTCGTAGGTCAGCGAGGATGTGCAAGGAAGAGATGCAAGGAGTCTAATGAGGAAACCTTTCATTTCATAGCGTCGGTTATCAGTGGCACCAGTCAGCTGTATCGTCAGTCAAATCTAACAGAAACCCATAAAAGGTGCAGCACTGACACGCCACGCTACTTGATTAAACGCTTCCACACAGGATACCCTCGTGTCTCCTCGTCTACGCTCCCCTGGCCTCGAGGTCCATTTGAGTAATTTGAAGATCCTCTATGACGGCAGAGGGGAAATGACTTCCGGGTCACGGGAAGAGAGAGAAGACGCAAGGAAGCATGAGTTAGCATAATAACAAGCACCTGCTGCGTATTCCACTGCAGACTAACACCTCTCCTCACATCTTAGTCCTTCCCACCAGAGATGTGAGCAGGGAAGGCAAGAAAGGGAAACGAGGAGAAAGGAGTTGAGGCAGCAGGGATTTTTAAAAAATGCTCGTCTTGAAGTCGTCGTTTTAAAGGAATGTCAATTAAATGGCGTCACTGAAATTTGCTACATCATCAAACACAAAACACTTTGCTGGGTCGTTGGCAGATTTAATATTTTATACCACGTGGGAGTTTGTCCAGTAGTCAAAGGAGAAGTACAAATGCAGCGGCTTTAATAGCGAACAGAAAGTCAGACGTTCCTTTTCACTGGTCGAACCGCTGAGTCATTCTTTCCCAACCTCAGAACCTTATTATAAGTACAAACACATCTTCTCTGCTTGACCTCAGATCTTTTGACTCTGAGACACTTCCTCAACAATTTATGCTGAGCTACCACAAGGTTAATCTACCAACACAAATAATTCCACAGCAGCAACATAAAACAAACACATAGATAATAACTGATAAGCTAAGAGCTCACAATTGATTTTACCGTCACAATAGCACCTGGCTGCATCATCCGTCCGTTGTTTCTCGTTAGAGCCTGCTATTGTATTTTATGATCTCCGTCAGATGCACGTAACAGTGTTCAAGGCAACGTACATTGTGCAATTCAATTCACAACAGGGCACAAGACAAGAATGTATTAAGACAAAACGTATGAAGCAGTGATACACAAATAGAGAATGGCACATTGTGATTGAGTTTTATATTCATCAGTTCTGTCCCTGCCATGTTCGTATATTCAGGCTGTGCGTCAGGCTCCTCTTATACCGTCACTGAAAAGACTTCCACAAAGGATGCATCAATAGCTCCTCCAGAAAGCCTCCTTCGCCTCCTTGAGATGCATTTTAGACATAGAGACATCTTGAGATTGACTTCTGGGTTACAGAGGAGAGGAAGAGGCTCAAAAGAGTTAATATGAGACGAGCCTTAAATGGGCAAGGCGTCTCCAGTTAGAACTGTGGAGTAGAAGGAGCGATTGCGGGCGTTTCATTCTTTGATACTTGGTCAGAAAGTACAACAGCATCAACAGCAACCGACTTCTCCCTTCTCAACTTTGTCATGTGAGCTTTTCCATCGAGAAGACTGCCGGGATGAAAATTGACATTCATAATTCATTGTTTGCTAAAGAACCTCTGTGGCCTGAATGTATGCGAATACAAAATGGGACGAGTGGATGAGCAAATAAGCGACAATGTAATTTGGGAGGATCCATCAATTTTGTTTTCAAAACTCATTTCAGCTGCACCTAGGCGGCATAAAAAAAAATAAAAAAATCAGGTACTGCAGGTTTAAATATTCATATTGTGTTGATATAGGGCCTTTGATTGACAGATCTTGTTTAACTCTGAAGACAATAGGAAGACAGCTTCTCATTGTCTCCAAGTGTAATCCAGACTGACCCCAGGTATCTCATTTCCTCTTGGCTGTTGCAGGCCGGTGAGGAGAACCCTGTAGTGCACCTGTCAGTCGTGAGCCTCCACGGTCCTCTGCACACCGTGGTGATGAAGAAACCCGATGACCCCCGAATAGGGTGAGTGACAAACCCAAGGTGCCTCATTGTGCATGAAGCGACGATGACTAAAACACCCCTGGAGCGTCTTCTTAAAAGGAAGACAGAGTTGTCAGAGATGTGACGTCTCTCTCTCACCCTCTGGTTTTCCAGGAGGGAATATTATATCACCATGGTGAAATGGGCCACCAACACCAAACTGGCTGTCAACTGGCTGAACAGAGCCCAGAACAACTCCATCCTGACGCTGTGCGAGGCTACCACCGGCGTCTGCGTCAAGGTGAAGCAAAGTGTGAAATTAGCTGCCACTGTTGATGTTGTGTTGAATGATTAGTCCAGTGACATATACTGCTTTCAAAAAAAAAAGAAACCCAACATGGCTGACTTGCATGTCCATAAACACGGGTAATGTAGTTTATTAAATGAAAACCACATACACCATCCTGCTGCTGCAAATATTAATTAGAGCTCCAAATCCACAGCTGAGAACACATCCTGATTGGGCTATTTAGTCCTGTGTGAGAAACGTTTGCAAAAAACTACAATGCCCAGCTGTTTGAGGGAATTATTTAGCACTCTCAGGAATACACTTGGTGGAGGACATTGTGTATCCATAAGATTATGTGGCCTTTTAAAAGGGCAAATTGTTGTTTGTACACTTTTGCACAGACTAAATAAGCAAGATATGTGTCAAGCTTCTGTTCGATATTAGACGTAAAACACGTGATGGAGCTTTGCAACACGAGATACCATGAAAATTGTGACTGTCACACAAGGAGGATGCTGTGAATTTGTAAAACCATCGAGGTGACAGTTTAAACCCCGAGTCAGACGCTCTGAAAAATGCATGAGGTGTGGCTATTATATGATGAGACCAGTCAAACCTTATCGTGGATGCCTGAACCACATGGGCAACCAAACAGAGATTAAATCCAGTTCAATTAAATCAAATAGCCACATCCTTGTACGTCCCAAACTGCAGAACTTGTGATTTGCTAATTGGGTAGTAAATGTAGAATATTGCCATATTTATCCTCTAATTTTTGTGCAATTTCTTGATTAAAGCTCCCAACTAAGGCTCTCTTATTCTTTTCAGAAACACGAAGATGAGAGTGACAGCTGGCTGCACCGACAGGTATGTGACAAAAACACCGCCGCGCTGTTATTGCATAGCAGTCGGTTGAAAAAAAACAGACTGCGTTCGCTCCTCCGTGTGTCTGAATAAGTAAATACCAGGAGATGCTAAAAGCCCTGCAGGCACATTTTAGGACACACACACACACATGCAGGCTTTCATTATTTCATTCCCCTCTGCAGAATGAACCGCCGCTCTTCTCCCAAGACGGACACAAGTTCTTCTTCACCAGGGCGATCCCTCAGGGCGGCAGAGGAAAGTTTTTCCACATCTCTATGTCCACCTCATTGGTAAGTAATGACAAAATTACACATGCAGTATTAGTCCTTTGAGGTTTGCTATGAGTGTTTAATTTGTTCTCTTTTAGCCTAACACGAGCACAGACATCCTTCAGTCCCTGACCTCTGGAGACTGGGACGTCACCAGCATATTGGCCTACAACCACAAAAGGAATCTCATGTAAGAACTTTTGGTATTTTTGCATTTACTTTTCAACATTCGGAGTATTTCCTTACTTGATGGTAATGCTTTGGATGCTCCCCAGATACTTCCTGAGCACAGAGGACGACCCCAAACGACGGCACCTGTACAGGTAGGATTTTAACCGCCGTTATCTGCCGTTACGTGCTGTTTAAAGTACACGATGATATTCACTCACTGCCGTCCGACAGCGCCGACACAATCCCTCCGTTCAACCGCTGCTGCCTGTCCTGTGAGTTCAAGTGCGGCTACGTGGACGTTTCATTCAGCCACAACATGCAGTACTTCCTGCTTTACTGTAAAGGTGAGTGTCTTTTACCCTAAATAGCACGAGGCATAGCTTTATTTATAGAATCAAAAATCTACTGGGAGAGGCAGGGAGCCATGTTCAGTAGTCAGTAGAAGTGAATTAGTGCTTCATGTCAACTTATATCCAATCGGATAACCTCAAACCACAGAGCCACAGAAATGAATGTCTTGTCTGACTTCATGCCAACAATCATGTGAGTACCACTGAACTGCTGGCAGGGAGTGTGAGGCTTTGGAGAAGAGTAGTGGTTAGCATCGTGTTGTTTGCTAAATCTGTTCCTTGGAGACACCAAGTCATTGTTTTTTTGTTTTGTTTTTTCTTCTATCCTTATGGCTTCAGCACTGGGCAACAACATCACAGTTTCTATGGAAGCTGATTTGTTTAGGGGATGCACTCCGGAGAGCACAAGTGCCAGTGGCTTTCTTCATTAATTGGATCTTTGGAGAGTAGCTCCATTGTGAAATAATAAGCTACTTCCTCGTGGGACGGAAGTAGATTATTAACTGTAGAGCTGGCTAAGAGGGCTCTTTCTGAAGTCTGTTTAAGACGGAGAGATTATTCTGTTGCAGAGAAGCGCCTGGGCTTCAGTGTGTTGATTACCAGCGTGTTGGAGCCATTTCAGCCTGTCGTCAGTGTCTTGTTACGGGATATTTTATCATGCCTATCGAATTAACCTCCATTATTATATTTCTGTTGACTGCTTCTTCTCTTAATTGTACTTTACAGGCCCAGATATACCGAGCGTGGCCGTCTACAGCACAGACGACAAACAGAGTGGGTGTCTGTCCATCACCATGTACAACAATGTGCATTAAATCCATATGTTCTGATTGATAAATATCACTGAGAGACTCTTTTCCTCTTGAACTGCAGAGGTGTTTGACGTGGAGACAAACGAAAGAGTAAACAACACATACAACAACATGCAGATGCCCAGAGTGGAGTACGAGACCATCACCATAGACGACTACAGTACGTGTCCCCTAATCCTAATAAAACCGTCCGTTTGCGTTGAGAGGTTCCCGTTGACCGTGTCCTTTCTGTTGCAGCTCTGACGATGCAGATCCTCAAGCCGGCCGGATTCATAGATACAGCTCACTACCCTTTGCTGCTGCTAGTGTGAGTACGACCACATCTGTCTGTTTTCAAAAGCTACCTTTATAAAGCACTGCACAAAATATTACCAAAGCTTGAGTTGTGCAACTAAAAGCTGCTTTCACTCTTACTGGAAAGCGAACTAGGCTGATTTAGTGTTGCACTTACCTACATCTGGAGTGCTCACATGAGTACGGGACTCTAGCATGGAACCAAAAGGACTGCATTCTAGTTTTGTCTGTCGCTATGCTGCATTCACTTCACTTAACTGGAGAAACAGAGGAGTCAAAAAGACGTACTGTGTGACTTTATCTAGTGGTTTACTTGATCAAGAAAAGCAGGAGAAAGATAATATTGTTTTGGGAGCAAAGTGCTGGATAACACACCAGCATAATGTTTCTGAAATGGCGTACTTTCCAAAAATAACAAGTTGATTAACCAACATTGTAAAAACAAAAAGCTACAACGCTTAATACAGGGAATGAAGTAAAGGCACAACCTGGGATTGAGGAGTAAAACTGTCTTCTACTTCTTCTTTAATTTTTGCTACTTGGAAATCAGACACCCCGAGTTGCTAATTGCCACAGAGTGCAGCATTAGACTACGTCTGCCTGATCAACGGCCTCATCTTTCAAACTCTCACCCTCAATTTGTCACACAGACAACAGTCCCTATGTCCAGTCTGAGATAACCCTGATTGACAGATGCCCCTTTAATCTGCCAATTATTTCTGTCAGTTAATCAATTGATTGTTTGGTCTATGAAGCCTGAAAAAAAAAAAAAACTGCCAAATAACTTGTCGCAATTACTTAGGACTCAAGGTGAACTTGCCAAATTGCTTGTGAGGTTGAAAACAAACAAAGGAAGCACTTGGAAACCAAAATAAAAGTATTTTGCTTTTTTTTTTCTAGATGGACTCAAATCATTTATTAGACTCAAAAACAGTTTTAATTAATTTTCTGTCACTCAAGCAACAGAACCATGCTGAAGTTTTAATCAGAACATCCTGCACGACACAACACCGTCGCATTCAGTTATTTGAAAAGACTCTTTGTAAGATTAGTTGCGTCAGTTCTTTGCTCATGNTTATTTGAAAAGACTCTTTGTAAGATTAGTTGCGTCAGTTCTTTGCTCATGTGTAGGAGGTTGTTGTATAAAGGTTGGATCATTCCGGATATATTTTGGCTTTACACAACTCATAATACTGTAAAAACATATAGGATTGAGGCGATTAATCGGTCCTTACAGCCTTCCGTCCTTCTGTTCGTTCCACAGGGACGGTACGCCTGGCGGGCAGATGGTGACGGAGCGCTTCCAGGTGGACTGGGCCACGGTTCTGGTCAGCAGCTTCAGCACCATCGTCATCCGGTTCGACGGCCACGGCAGCGGCTTTCAGGGCACAAACCTCCTCCACAAGGTCCGCAGGAAACTGGGGAAGCTGGAGGAGAGGGACCAGCTGGAGGCGCTCAGGTCGGACATCCGCCGGAGCCGTGAGCATGATTGCAACTGAAGGGCCTAATAGGTCGTACGCTTTATTCATTTGGTTTCATTTTCAGGTTCATATCCAAGGAGTCTTTCATTGATAAGAATCGAATGGGAGTCTACGGAAAGGTAAGAGGGCCAAATGCTCGGAGAGATGAAGAGAGATGGTAGCTGCATGAAATTAAATAGACTGCACCTTGTTCTTGGTACAGGCCTACGGGGGATATTTAGCGACGATGCTTTTGAGCTCCGAGGAGTTTACCCAACTTAAATGTGGAACCGCGGTCTCACCCATCACAGATTTCGAGCTTTACGGTAAACTGAATATTCTGTTGCTGTGGACATATTCAAAGATGTCATGCTCTTGGAACAGCGAGGCGACTGACCCTCTAATCCTGGTTTTCTCTTTTTCAAATTGCAGCATCTGCTTTTTCGGAACGATACCTTGGAGCAAAGACAGATTCCCGAGTATATTCAGTAAAGTGTCCATCCTTTTGCCTCCTTACCCAACAATCATGCATGTTTAGCTGAAGTGGGAAGAGTTAAAGTTCATTATGGAAGAGCACGTTGATCATATTTCTTTGTCTTTCGTCTAGATGGCAAATTTAGCACACAGAGCGGGTCAGCTGCTGGAGAAACAGTACTTAATCATTCACCCGACTGCTGACGGTAGGAGCACAATGTTGTTTTTTTCTTCTAAATACTGCAGTTAAACTACAAGTAACTATCTTTGATCAAACTAATGTTTATCTCAAATCTCCTCTTCTCTCCCACCACAGAAAAGGTTCACTTCCAGCACACAGCCAAATTTATCAACCATTTAATCAGCGAGAAGGCCAATTACACGCTACAGGTGAGCTCTGAAATGACAAACACACACTGGAGTTCAAAGAAAGTACGTCACCTTGGAATTTCACATTTCAGCTCTTTTCTTTTTTTAAACAAAAATCAGCATCATCACGACCAAAATAGAAACTAAAGCTAATATTTGACAAATAATCTCGAAATATTCCAAAATTAGCATTTAAAGAGGTTTGGTAAACGCAGTATTTATGGCCAAAAAGTCATCACATTTCCTCCAGTTTTTTCCATTTAAATGGAAGCAAAATCAAAAGTCCCCCAGGCACCATCCTGACACGAGCAAGGGGCGACTGCAACCCAGAACATGCTATTAAGTGGTGTGATCAAACACCGTACCTAAATCTGGCTGCCATCCCGTCAAAGTAGTCTCCTCGTGGAGTGACGCAGCACTCCCAGCGTCTCGGCACGCATGTCAGTGGGATGGGCACTGAGACGACGACCCTTCAGCTTAAATTTAATTATGGGGGGAAGCGGAGGAAGTCACAGGGAGGCAAATCTGGAGACGACAGTGGGTGAGGGAAGACGAAGAAGTCCACCTTTAAAGACTGAGAACAATCTGAATGACTTCTTTCCATGTTTTGTTTATCATAAATGACCAAAGTTTTGTTTGTTTGCTCCTCTTCAAGATTTCTGGTGGCTAGAAAACAACTATTTTGCTTCTGGCTCCTTATACTAATGTATATCGACACCAGTTTATTTGCCATAAATCAGTTAATAGAAACAAGCCAGAGTGACACTTTCGTTTTCTTTTCTTTTTTTTTTTTTTAACTTGTTGAGACATTTTAAAAGTTCTCCCTAAAGCTAATTGATCATTATATAGGAACTTCACTGTTATTCCATTGCTCTGTTTTCCTACATTTTCCATCTCCCTTCACTGTCACGATCGAACAATGAAAACATGTGTTTGGTTCCTTGCGGCACTGTAAAACTCTCTTACTCTGTATTTATCCACAGATCTACCCAGATGAGGGACACTTCCTCCACAGCGAGGGGACGCAGCAGCACCTGAGTCAATCTCTGGTCAACTTCTTCGAGGAGTGCTTCCGGGTGCCCGAGACGGTGAAGGACGACCAGGAAGACAACGAGGACGACAGTTAAGCCCGATCCTCTGAGCAGCCCCCGGCCAGCTACTACAGCACAATATGCAACAGATCTTTCTAACACAATAAAACCACCCCACCTGCTGTCCAATCTGATTTTTAGCTCTAATCTGAAGTGCAGCACCTGCATGTGCAAAAAAAAAAAAAAGAAAAAGAAAAAAGAAAAGAAAGAGGCCCCCGCCTACTTCCCTTCTCTTCGTCTCACACTCGCTGCCGACGAGGAAACCGGCCAGAAAGAGGCTGAATAAATCTCAGACGTGAACAGTCGTATCTCTCTGCTATTGGAACAAATGGACCGGTACTCCCTCTGGTGGACCAAGAGGGTCAACATAACATCCATTCAGCAATGCGCCTCCATTCCAAAAACAGGCACATTAATCGAGCGCTTTGCAGCACAAAATATCCCCCCTGAGAAGAAGATAAGTTCATTATGTTGAGATTTAACTTTTGAGAGGCTGCCAGTTTCTGATAACCTTGCCAACTAACTTACTGATTATTGTGTTCATGAGTATGATTATTGCTACCTGTTTCTCAGAATCTCTCTGTTCAGTGTCTTACAGTTGTTCCGTGTCCGAGTGGATGTCTGGCTGCATCAGTCCGTTGAGTTGCTTTACAAAACAAAGGCACAACGTTTAACTTGTGTTGTACTCCAAGAAACAAAACAAACTGTATCTCTACATAAATGCTATGAAGTCATATTTTTTCCTCCTCACACTTCTGAATTGAACTCTTGTTCTTTTAGTCACTGTGCCTTACTGTGGGCGAAATGGTCATGTTAGGAGCCCACATGACTCTGGAACTGAGTAACTATGGATAGGCCTCGTCTGGACTGAGTTATCTATGAGCAAAGGTTTGGCACATTTTATCTCGGAAACCTGGAAGCAGTTGAATATGAATTAACTGTACGTCTGCTCGAGCGATGGTACTGTACTGACACAAAAATGTAAACAATATTTAGTTTGCGGATTCTTGATATTTACCATCCAAACTGGCATACTGGTGAGTTAACTATGCTGAACTTTCATGATTTTGTGAGTTGCTTTGATTGCTTTGTGTGTTCTCGACTCTCCTCATGTCACTTCTGTTAGTATTGTCAGTGGTTTCTAGTCAGCTGATGTACAAAGTGTATAAAACTTATATTGTTTTAAGTCTTTATGTTGTATGTGCAACTTGTATATAAAGCATTTTGAAATGTAGCTTTCGTCTGCGTTATTTTACGACCTTATTGTATAAAGTACAGTATGTTTTATCTATTTCTATGGAGCCATTGCGCCCTCTTGTGTGCAGGAGAAGTATTGCACCACAACTGAGGAATGAAAACTCCCAGAAGGGCTGTAGAAATTTTACAAGTAGCTGAATGCCTAATAGGCTATTTAATAACATAACAAGGACTGTGTGTATGTGAGCGTCTGAGTAAGTCGTACTGGCAAGACAGTGAACCAGCATGCACAGTGCCAGTAGAATTCAGCCATCACTGATTTTAAGCATCACTGTGACGTTAAAAGTCTTCTGTGCAAATGCATTTTGTTAATTTGCACCACTGCTAAATAGTTGATATTAAATTATCTCAGAACTTATAGCACAGAAACACTGACATATTTCGAATATCCTCTGAGTTTGTGATGTTTATCTCTACTCAAACTAAATTTATTAAGGTTTTTGAAATCTTAAAGCGTAGACTGCATATAAAAGACAGATGTAGCGACCGAGACGTCACCGTTATTGTGCAAAAAGCAGCAGAGAAATAATCATTACTGTGACATGAATTTAAAAAAAAAAAAAAAAGAAAAAAAAAAGGGAGACACAAATAAGAACAAAGTGAGAATTTACAAGCTACATGATGCAACCTGGGGCGTTTTCATGATTAGAATATCAGCATCCTCTTTGGGTTTAATGCCTCTGCTGCAGGAACCAGCAAGTTCCCACTGAGCCTGGACTCAGAGCGCCCCCCCAGTGTTGGGGCGTTCCTCACAGTGGAGGTCCTGATCCGAGCAGCTGATCCAAATCTAAGTGCACCTTATTACCTTTCTCCAAACATTCCTGGAGCGCCAGAAAAGACGCCTTAACATGTCATGGTACAGCTAACAACTTTATACCATTTGTCGTAGTTAAAAGAAATCCTTAAGTCCACATCATCTATGGATTTGTGGAGTATTGTTTTGAAGTATCAAATTTGGCATTTGACTGTCACCACCTTGCTTTTTTAAAACCGGACGTAATGCACGAGGGGCGCTCCAACTGAGAATCCGTGGACACTCCACACATATAAATTGTCTATTTTACTCCAAATGGAACCATAATTTACAAAAAATGAACATCATGCACATAAAACCAGCAACTGAGACCATAAACTCATCAGAAAAATGTTCACTGATGTAAAATATTAAGGAGGAAAGTTTTTTTCCTCATAGACATCTATACAATCTAATTACTTTTGCAACCAGGGAAGTCAACCCCAACTGGCTGTTAGAAAGAATGCAGAAAGAATGGAAGCTACATTTTCAAAGCGCATAAGCTTCAGGGCTTCCCCGACAGCCGCCCTTACAAAACACCTGAACGTTCGTCGAGTGCAGCTGGAGGACTGATTCATGTGAGAGCTTGTCAGTGGGGAGAGGAACACATCATGTTCAAATGTCTTTTCAACCAGAATTCTTTTCCCACAAAACAAACCAGATAATTACCTGTCCAACAGAAAACAAGCTGCCACGACGTCCCTTTCCAGACTCTTTGACCCAAGTAGCTGCCATTCGCACGAGAAAGCCTGTAGAAAAACAAACGTGCCATAAATCACCTGTTTTCACAAGACGTACATTATAACGTTCTTACAATGCTGCTGCAAATGGAACTTAAGAGCCTTTGACTTGCATTAATCAAACCAT